CCTACACGGATATCACAGATTTTTGTCTCCTTTATTATTCCTGGTGGTTCTACTGTTCTCAACAATCCCCTGAAACGCAAATTGTTCCGCAATCCATTAATGCTGAACTCTTGTTAGTCTGCTAGAACTACTGTAACAAAGGTCCATGAACTGAGTGATTTCAAGCAGGAATTGGCTTTGTCACAGTTTTGGAAGCCAGGAGTTCCTGATCAGTGTTCTAGCAGACTAGGTTTCTTGTGAGAGTTCTCTTGCTGGTTGATGGACATTATCCTTCTCATTATGTCCTCAGGTCATCTTTTCTCAGCGCTCAGATCATGCACACAGAGCAGAGGGGATTCAATCTTGACTGGTTCTGCTTAAAAGAACATTATTGGTTCATTTAACACCACTTTAACTAAAATACCTGAGATGAGCTTCTTCAGAAAAGAGAAGGTTCATTTCAACTTATAGTTGAGGTTAAAAGATCAGGAAACTCCATTTCCAAGCACCTGATGGAGCCTAAATGCCAGGTATATAAGTCAGGAAAAAGAGTAAACCTGTGCTGAACTTGAACTAAGCTAATCAAACCTCTTCTGAGAGCCATCCTCCATGGCAGTGCCTCCCCTAACTCAAACACCTTCTACGGACTGCATCTGTCAGAGGCGATCCTTAGCTCAAGCCTGTCCCCGAAGCCATTAAGAAATCAGAGTTTTAAACAGTTGCATGTCTGTGATACATGAATACAAATCATGATATTTCCATAAACAAATACTTTGAGACCCTATCTCTAAGTATAGCCATACTGCCCATTTGCATTTCAATAAATGAACTGGTGATTGAAGGGGACACCAACATTCGACCCATAGCAGCTTCTTCATAGGCGTAGCATTGGAGGCCAAATTTGGGGGGTTTGTGGTTAGTCTAACTCCAGGAGGATTCTTACTCCTGCCCTTCCCTGACTGTCTCTGTTCAGTGTATAGCCAGCTATCATGAAGTACCCAGTATACTCATATTTGCCCATCAGAAAAGATAATTTTTGTTTGCAGCAGTGCCCTGAAGCATGAACTCCCTCATGATCAGTACTGAACATAGCTTTAGCTTGTATATCATCAGTTCAATAAGTCTAATCTTCTGGCTTACCTCTCCCATGAGTAATCTTTTTTTTTTTACCACTAATAACCTACTTCTCCTAGGTCGACCCTCTTGCTTTCTAAGAGAAATAATAAATGGAGATGATAGGACCTTGTGTAGCCTACAATAGAACTTCCACTCTGAGTGAGCCAGGGCAGGTGCATTCAGTACCTTGCTGTTTCTGGGCTACATATTTTGCCCTCAGAATAGGGGTTGACTGGAGTGTAGTTGCCTTGGTTACCCCAGTGAATAGAGTTTCTGCAACATGGATCTGGAACAATAAATGTTTTCTTCAGCCTTGCACTGTAGGATGAATAGCAACCCTTAACTAGAAACTGGAGAAGAATCCTTGTCTTTTCATTGTACCCACTCACTAGCGTTTTCATTACACTCGCCTGAAGAAGAGGAGAAACTAACAGAGCAAGTGCTGGCTCAAATATCAGATTCTCACTTCTTGCTGAGCTCAAGTAAACTTTGTTGAAGAAGTAATTCTTTAATTTTCTGCATACCTTGAAGGCAACTTTCAAATACTGGAATGAAAATTTTTTTTACCAGGTAAATGATTATTGAAAAATTCCATCTGTTCATCCTTGCCATTTTTCCTGCCTTTTTTCCCTTGAGATTTCTTTAATAAATTACTTGGAGGGGGAGTGTTCAGTCCCTCTCACACCACACAAAGAGACATACTTGTGTAGGTCAATTTTGTACAATTTTCTTTTTACTGGCATGAACCTGAAGCATAAGAATCTTATCACTGGAAGAGGAATCAGGTGCAGGGAGGGTAAAGCTGGTGTTCATGGTTCTTAGGGAATTTAATTTTATTCCTGTAAAATATTTGAAGATGATCTCCAGCAATTCTTGTCATCTTATATACACTTATAATCAATCAACACAATGTTTTACCACACTCCTGCAATCTGGGTCTTGGTCTTGCTTTATCTCATCTACCCCCATGAGCTTAGGTGGCTGAGACCTGACTACTTCCGCTGTTGCTCTCTTGCTCTCCTGAACTGCCTCCTGTATTCTGAGCTGGGAGAGGTATCCGGCACAGCATTGAAGACACTATCTGGCAAATGTGTATCCATCCATGTTGCAGTGCTTGGTTCAAGTCCGTTCCTCCAAGTGTGTATCCTGGAAGACATCGGGTGCTGTGTACAAGTGGTTGGGTTCCTAATGCCCATGTGGAAGATCCCAACTGATTTCCTACCTGCTGGATTCAGCTTGGCCTAGATTCAGCCATTGTGGGCATTTAGGGAGATAACCAGCAGAAAGGAGATCTCTGCTCCACACCCCTGCTTTATAACAAAACAAAAATAAATGAAAACATCTTCCAAAACAAACCTGAGAGAAGCCATGAACCCTGAGAAGCAGAATGAAGACCCTAGCCACAGCCAGCACAAAGACCCAGGTCATGTGTGGAAAGTCACTGTTGACCGCCTCACTTCACCCAGACACCTGTACCATGCAGCCCTCTAAAATGCAACTGACTCACACAGAGTCCTGCCCAAAACCTGCCGCACGTGTAATGGCTCTTTAAGCCTCTAGATATCAGGATAGTTTCTATACAGCATTATCTGAATGAAACGCTCCTCTATGGATTTAGATAATAAGACTTCCTTCAAATTAAGTTCTTTCATTTCAGCATTTTCTGCTTCTTCTTTGTCTACTTCAAAGGCAGAGGGACAGTGAGAGAATGTAAGGGGGAAAGACAAAGAACACGTTTGGGATTAGCGGAGATAGAAAGACAGAATTCTCCCACTACTGACTGAATCACTACGTACCTAGGAGCTGGAACTGGGAGTCTGGAACTCCATCCCAGTTTCCCGTGTGGGTAGAGGGACCAAAGAATTTGAGCCACCTTCCATTGCCTCTCAGGATGCATTAGCAGAAAATTGAGTCAGAAGCCAGGTAGTAAGGATTTGAACTAGCATGCTGATAAGAAAAGGGGACATTTGAAAGTAGCAGCTTACTCCACTGCGATACAATGTTCACCCTTCAAGCTACACTTCTTAATTGCAGGGAATCATTTCAACAGGAAACTGATGATAAACAGCAGAAAATAAGAGGAGGAAGAAGCTGTATTGAGGAAGAGAATGGTATGAGAGACAACAAAATACATAAGAGGTTGAAGACAAAAAAAGTGAGTGACTCAAGGCACATGCGACCTCAGAAGGAAATCCTGATAGACTCAGAGGACGCTTGCAGAACGAGTGGGTGTTGGAGGAGTAAAAGAAGGAAACATTATATTAACAAAGTGCAAGGTATCAGATTCCAGTTCTTGCATCACTAGCTAACTGGCGTTATGAGAGGCACTTTTCTTCAGTTGTCTACCTGGTAAACTGAGGGGTGAGGATTAATAACTCTTTCAGGATTAATCTTTACATTTATCAAGAAAATATAATCTAGTTGGAGAATGTTTATAAACACTTTACCTTGGAAACAATCATTACTGATGAGGTAGAAGATATCCTGTAACTAAAAAAAAATGGCTGTTGCTGCAACTGATTCATAAGAAGGGGAACACTTTTATTTCCATAATGTAGAGATGACTTATTAATATTGTCCTTCATATTAACAATTTGCCCCAAATTTATGTCTGAACTAACACGTCTTTATTTTTTGTTTGTGACCTGAGTAAATTACATCTAATATTTTTAAGAAAAATGATCCTGCTAATGCAGGATAATAAATACACTAGATACTTGCACATTTTTAAGCAAAGTTATAAATATCCTTTTAATAAGTCTTTGCAGTTACTAAAATATTGATGCTATTATACATATCATCACTACTTTCTAGAAAATTACTAATATGATTCCATGAAACAATCCTGTTAATATAATATTAATGAATATCTTCTCTTAAATTTTCCTAACAAAAACCCATTTCGGATTCTCATTCATATTTTAAATGCACTGTATGTGCTTCTCTTTGCATCTTGGGTTGAACTATCAAAGCACATGATACTCTTTCTTGTGTGTTTCTATCTTCACTATGAAATTTTTTTCTGCCTGGAAAACTTTCCCTCACACTACTTTCTGTATAGGATTTTCCTGATCCTACTGTCACTTTTATTTTATAGTGGTCTATCGCTTCTTAAAAAAACTTATCCTGATCTAAAATCCCAAGTTAGATCCAGTTTTCCTTGGTATATTCCCATGAACACCCCCAGCACAATGCTGGCCTGTTGCTTTATATTTATGTCTTATGTGTTTCACACTAGACTCCAAATTTTAAGAAGAGAGATCTGGGACTAGGAATGTTCTCTTTTCCATTGTGTGTGTGTGTGTGTGTGTGTGTGTGTGTGTGTGTTCAGCACATAGCACTAGTGTATTCCACTGTAACTGTTTAAAAAGTGAAAGATGAATGCATTCATTATGTATGGTATCCTGGTTGGTAGCAGAAGGGTCTGTGAAGAGGTAAGACATTGAATTCTGCTGGATTCATTTTGATGTGTATTTATGACATTTTATGATTAAGAGCAGTTTTAAGATCAACATAAGAATTTTACCCCATTGTTGGAAAATCTTTTTTTCTAAATATATCTACTTTTCAATGTACAATCTAGCCTAAAAGTGGAAATCATCAAGGAAAGTAAAACACATTAGATTGTATATGTCTTTTCTCTGGAAGAAAAGCTACAGACGAAAAACACATTAATAAAAAGTTCCCTTTAGGCACTTTGGATACTTAAGAAATGGAATCAACTACATAGAATATTGCATTTTTTTCAGCGTATAAATTATATAAGTCCATTAACAACTTCAAAATGTTGCAAAATGCCCAGAGTTGCAAAATAAAAGTTAACAATTCAGAAACAAAAGGGTCCGGGGAATTTATTGAATATTCATGACACAGAAAGCAGTGAAGCAGATGCAGAAGTTCATTACCTGTCCAGGGTGAAGGCGTACATCTTGGTGGCTTTGTCATTCACCAGATAAGTTCTTTCCAGAAACTCCATATAGCCAAGATGAGAGCTGCTAGTATTGTTTAAATCACTGCCCAGTTTTAGAAGCAAAGCTGCACCACAATTGTCCACATACTACACAATGGAAAAAAAAATGAAAAGGCTTCCTCTTCTTCAATTAACAAGCCTCCCACATCAATGTTCTTGGTAAATCTGCTACAATTACAGTCTCCTTGCAATATCACCTGGCCTCATCCTTGCACTCAGAAACTGCTTTCCTGGGAAGACCTGCAGGTGTGACCATGTGACATGTGTTTATAATTCATTTATGCTTTCGAAGAGGTCGAGGAGCACCTGTGTTTGCTGCTCCTTGCTGACTCAGAGGTTTGACCTTCAGAGCACACCTGGATGAACTGCAAATCACTGCCCCTCTATACACTAATTTCATCTTTTTGTTGCTGGTCTCTTCCTTTCCGCCTCAACCTAAAAGCTCTTCTTTTGGGATTTGGCTTTAAGATGACCTTTAAGCAGCTGTCAGGATTTGCTTCTCCTCCCGTAGGACCATTTTGGGATTTCACTACTGAAGGGAGGAGAAGGGTCATTAGTCACTGAAGTCTGTGATCTGAGCCAATTTTGGTGCGGCAGCTTGCTTTGAAACCCGTTGACAGGCAGGAGAAGGGCAGAATCAGCTCCCAAGTCAATAGCAGCTTTCAATCATGCAAGAACCACAATGAACAGTGTTCTGCTTGACCAGGGTGCACTGTGTTGAGGATAAGGGATTCACTCCAGAACACTCCTGGGAGAACCACTCAGAACTCTCAGGAATGGGGCCCTCTGGGCTTCTCAAACTCCTAGATCTTCAACTTACAAACAGCTAGGACATGGTACTTTCTTCATTATAAGACACTTTCTTTTCCAAACAACAGATGCAATTACAGGGCACAATGGCAGGAGGCGTGTCATCTGCAAGCAGGTGTCAGTGAAGACAGCAAAGAGGGAGACGTGTCTCAGAGACCTCCTCACCGTTCCACACCATGATCCACTGCTCACACTAACTTCCTGGCAAAAAAAAAAAAAAAAGCTCAACTCAGTAGTTTAATCTCAGGATAATGCAATGGCCCAGCATTGTGAGGATTTGCTCTTCCTGCTGAGCAGAGATCTCTCATTATGGCCTGTTAAATAGTTTTCAAGGAGAATAACAGAACTCAATGGCATTTGGAGGAGGCAGAGAGGAGAGAAGCCACTTTTGGCTAAAAGTAAAGCTCTAAGTCTCTCATTCCATATGTGATTGGATCGAGACAACTTGTTTATCTTAACATTTTCCAACATTCTATTGGCAACAAAAATTATAAGTCTTCTCATATGACCACCTGGCTCTGCTGGTTGGGAATGAAGATGCCTTTATTCCTCGCAGGAAAAGTAAGGAAGTTTTGGGTTTGGTGTTAGCAGAGTAACATTCAAAGCATTTCCTTTTCATGTCCTTACTTTGCAAAATGATTAGAAAAATCTGTGGATGCAAAACTAGGAAACTAGAAACGAATGAGTGAACTACCAATATTACATGGTGCCAGGCTTTAGTGGTTGAATATTCTGAGAAATTTCTAGTACATGTGAAAGAAATAATACAGGTAAATATATGTTGAAAAACAAGAAATTGCCAAAAATCAGGCGGAAATCCATTTAGAATATGTGGAAAGGATTGAAAACCAGCAAAATGGAACTGCAGAAAATGAAGTATTCATTCATATCCATAGAGAAAAGGGCAACCTGGAAGTTTGAGATTCTGTAATAGAAGCTTGGCTGTGAGCAAGCACAGCTGTATGTCTACCTGTTTAGGACCCCATAAATTTGAAGTTTGCACACGAGTTTGTAACATGGGCTGGATACAGGATAAGGTAAGGTAAAGATGGGAAAAGAGAGAATGGGTGGAAACTGGGCTTCAGGAAAAAAAAAGACAGGAAAACATTGTGGCAAAAAAAAAAAAAGTAAATGTATTCTATGATTGTCCCTATTTATAATTTGAATAATATATAATCATCATTCTCATATACCCTGTGTGTTCTAGCACCAATTCCATTTAGTTCAGAAATGGGGCCCTAGAACATAAGCATAAATCAAAAGGTTTGTGGAAAATGGAATTAAAATTATTTTACTAGGCCCAGTACTGTGGCCTAATGGCTAAAGTCCTTGCCTTGCATGCTCTGGGGATCCCAAGTGAGCACTGGTTCATATCCTGGCTGCTCTACTTCCCTTCCAGCTCCCTGCTTCTGGCCTGGGAAAGCTGTCAAGGACCCTTCACCCACGTTGGAGACCCAGAAGAAGCTCTTGGCTTCTGGCTTTGGATCGGCTCAGCTCCGGCTGTTGCGGCCACTTGGAAAGCAAACCAGCAGATGGAAGATCTTTCTTTTTGTTTCTCCCCTTCTCTCTGTAAATCTGACTTTCTGATACAAATAAATAAATCTTTAAAAACTTATGAAAGAATATCCTAAAAAATTTAAAATTACTTTAGTACATTTTTAATTCCATGTGTAATTCTTTATCCATTTTCCAAGAACTTAATTTTTCTTTTTTTTTTTAAGGTACATTTATTTATCTTACAAAGTCAGAAATACAGAGAAAGAAGGCAAGAAATAGGGAGAAAAGGAGTTATTTTCCATCCACTGGTCCACTCCCCAAATGGCTGCAATAGGGAAGCCATTTGGGGAGTGAAAGCCTGGAGCCAGGAGCTTCTTATGATCTCATGGGTAGCAGAAATCCAAATGCTTGAACCATCTTCTGCTTTTCCAGAAAGGGGAGAAGCATACAATTAAGAAAGGAAAAGAGACTCAGACAAGACTAAATTTAAAGCAGGACTGGTGTAGAGGGAGCAGCCTCTGAGAGCAAGGTAACTCTCCCATCAAACTGTAGGAGAGAATGTCTTTTGGCTTTACCCAGTCGTTTTTACTCTTGGGGACTAAACATTGTCGGCATTAATGCTGATGCTCTTCAGGGATACCAGATTACTGTGGACCATGAGGGAAGAGAAATAGATGTGGCTTTTGGGTGTGCAAATTATTTGAGCTTGCTATCACAAGAACGTCCACCTCCCTATGGCCTGGCTTTGTCTATCTTGAACTTCATCACACATCATGGCTTTGTGGGCTTGACTTTGCTAACCATGGATTTCGTCCTGTGGCATTACCCCAGGAAGCCTCCATTCCAAGACTCCCAGCTCACATCCTTCTCATTCCATCTCAAGCTGCGTAAGCCTTCTTAGGATGGCCTTCAGCACTAGGCCAGTAAGCCAGGAGCTGGACTAGATATGGAACAGATGGGACCAGCATCCATACGAGATGCCTACACTGCTAAAGGCTGTTTAACCTGCTACACCACAATGCTTGCCCTAATTTATTTCTTTATGTGAGAGGAAGAAAGAGGAAGAGAAAATGAGATTGTTTCCATTCCCTAGTTTGCTCCCAAATGTGTACAACAGTAGAGGCTAAACCAGCTGGAAGCCAGGAGTTTGAAATTTGATTTGGGACTTTCACAAGGATATCAGGAACCCAATTATTTAAATCACTAACTACTGCTTCCCAGGGTTTGCTTCAGCAAGAAGCTACAATCATAACCCACAGCCGAATATTGAATTCATGTACTTCAATGAGGAATGTGACCATTTCAATCAGCATCTTACCCACTAAGCTCAACATCCACCTCTCCAAAAACTTTTGAAAGATCCCTCATCCTTGTATATATGTGCACACATGTGTACATACTTATGAAAATACATGTGTAAACATGTGTAACAGATTTAAAAATAAAAACGGAGTGTTCCATATTTCTAAAGTGCTAGGAAATTATATGCAATTTTCATCAAAGGTTTATGAATCTCAAAGCACTAATTTTGAAAATGACTACCATAAACCTAAGCTTCTGGTGTGGGTAGCATGAGAGCAGAGAACAATGGATCACAGCAAATAAAACTTATTTAAAAGTCTCTTTTGCTACCATAAATCTAGATGAAGATACGTCATGATCAAGAATTGATTGCAGATTTTGTTACATAAAATATTCCATTGATTACCTTACTCTTCTATACTCATTCTGAATGCATCCTCGTGCTCCCTCTGAAATACTCATATTTTGTCAGCACAATGTTTGTGGGGGGAAAAAAACAAACCTATCTCCTTGGCTAACCTCTAGCTTGCTCTGGCATGAATTGCCCACCAAGGGCTGAAGCTCAACAACAGGCACCAGATATGCATTTGGAAAGCAATTCGTTTCACAAAAGTAAATCCTCTTTTGTTGACAGTGTTGGAGGACATTATGCAGTGCCTCTCAGTTTCCTAGGCAACCAGCTTCCAGACCTTCCTGGATTACCCACTCACCAACACACGTTTATAGCATCCAAAGGGGCAAAAGGCAGTTTAGGAGAGATACCTGTGGGACTAAGTATTCCGCCAGCCTCAAGAACATCACTGACATAGGGAAGACGGGCCAGATCCCCAGGGCTACCTGTTGACAACAATAATTCCTTAATAACATTTTACAAACAGTAGATAATCATTGTCCAAAAACAATTTACACAAATGTTGCATGTATTGCTTGGTATTTCGTTGCAAAAAGGGTATGTGTGTATGTATGCAAAGTTGTTATCATCATCCAGACACTAACTTACCAAATTCTTTAAATTTTTGTTGCTGACATTTCTATTTCTATTTCAGAAAGACTGTTATATATTGCCACTGTTAACCTGTAAGCGCCTTCAAAAAAGAGATGCAAAGCTGTTTTTTTTTTAATACTTATTTTACTTGAAAGTCAGAGTTACATAAAAATAGAGGGAGAGAGAATCTTCCATGCATTGGTTCACTCCCCACATGACCACGACAGCCAGAGGTCCAGGCAGTCTGAACTTGGGATCCAGAAGCTCTTCTAGGCATCCAAATGGGTTTGAGGTCCCAAGGAATTGGGCCATCTTCCACTGCTTTCACAGGCATAAGAAGGAAGCTGGTTTGGAAGTAGAGCAGCGGGACTCGAACTGGTGCCTTTATGGAATGCTGACACCACCAGAGAGG